CCCAGTGAGTACATTATACGATTTTCATTGCCAGTATCTGATGAACATTTTGACTCCTATGTTGAAATTTGATTATTTTATCATATTTTCTAATTACAACCTATAATTTGGATATAGGCCCAACAAAGGGAGAAATCTGAATTGGCATAGCTGCTCTGTATATCACAGGTCAATATTGTTGACCTTAAACTGACTGATGGAAGTGATTTGTGATCAGTTGTACATTTCAAACACACTGACATCAATTTGATTTTCAAACATGCCGCTGTCCTTGTACCCATTAACTTGTAGTTTGTTATGGCAAAATTTGTTCAAAATATGTGATAGTTGACTTCACAGTAAACACTCGTGTTTGACAAAGTCTTCTTCACATTGAACTTGTAGTAGAGTTGCATGCATGACTTAAATGTAGAATAGGCTGTCTTCGTTTTTTGTATTTGAAGGTCATTAACAAGGAATAAAATGGTTGTTTTTATATTAAACACCTTTGTTATTCATAGTGCCCAGTGTTTGCATGGAAAACTCGATTTCTGTATAGTAAAACAGAGTCTGACACAAATGTTAAGCCAACTTGAATTTATGGTTATTATGGTAATGGTATATTTGGTGAACTGTTTTTTTTGCAGTGAAAATCTGAAAAACTGTCTGGCAATTTTTACTGTTAAAAGCGCAATTTGTTTACTGTATTTATTACGGACAGGTTATGTAAGCCATGCTGCTGGTGTTTCACCTTTAAAAAATAGATTGTATTTTACCGTATTTATTGCGCTGAGGTTCTGGAACCAGCTGCCGGTATTTCACCGTAAAAAACGGATGGTATATTTTCCATATTTATTACGGTGAGGTTCTGGCAACTGAGCTCCCGGTTATTTACCGTAAAATAGACTGATGGTATTTTTCCGTATTTATTACGGTGAGGTTCTGGCAACCGAGCTGCCGGTTATTTACTGTAAAATCAACAGATTTTTTTTTACAGTGATGTTGCGAATGGAAACTGTGAACTATTGTCAAAGCGCACTCATAAATGAAACCCACAATATAACTAGAAGTATACAGCTAGAGTTGACTGCTTTACGATTAATGACACTGCAAAATCATATGGTACTAGATCTGTTGATGGCGGCACAGGGGGGAGTATGTCAGTTAATAGGAGCCTTAAGGCTTGATTCCACCGGGAGCGTCTTGGCCACGTTACTGCCGCGACGCGATTGCCGGAGTTGATCCGCGGCCATTCTAGACAATGGTCGTGATTCCACCAGCCGCGCCACGGCACGTCTCGGCAGCGTCCCAGAAGCGGCTCTCCGCACTGCTCCGCCAAAAATATGCGCCAAGTCCATTTCTGCTGCTGGCAAGCTGCACTCGCGCTGATCTGAATATAGCAGGGATACGTTTCCCATAGTTCGACCATATACATTTATTGGATCCAACTACGTTAGTACTTGTGCTAATGGGAATCGCACACCAGATCGTGCCAGGCAGGAAGTAACTATCAAGGGGAATGTGCTTTTAACTAAAAGAAACCAGTCACAAATCTTTGATATAAAATTCGTTTATAACTTACTTTTCAAAGTTGTGATTTTGTTTTAACTAAAACACGGGCACAGTTTTTTTGTTTTTTTTTTTTTTAATCTATGGCGTTCACAGCTGGACTGTAGTAGGTTCTACAGCACAGCAAAGACGGAAATGACATTACATGCAATTAAAGCAGAAAAAATAACAGAAAGCATTTGAGGTCCGTGCACAAATATGCTGGTAAAAATGGCGAAATATGCGTAATCTGAGCAATTCGATTGTATCAGCGGGCAGGACGCTGCGCTGACGTTCCGCGTTCAAGACGCAGCAAAATAGCGTCGCTCACGTCACCCTGCAAATACGCGTCTGGTGGAATCCAGGGGATATGTTGCACCAACATACCAGCAAACAATGAGGAGGGAGGAGAAATAGATCAAGGCTTGCATCGCTTAAAAGAACTATCAAATGCACAGCAGAATGACTATGTACATGATGTCAGTGGCTCGTTTCTGGGGTTAGAAAGCAGCAATAACATCAATATTGAACCTTATGGCAGCCAGATTCACAGTACTGCTCTTTTGCAGTAGCTGTGGGGTTCCCATAATTAAAGGATTGATATCAAAAATGTTGAATGCTGGCCCACAATATCAGATGTTTATGTCACAGGACATCAACGAAGGACATCCTCCACCTGAGAAATTGAAGGAGCCATACTATGATGTGATAGAAATAAGTGACCTGTTTAAACAATAGAGCACTTCCCCTGAATGAAGCACATGCTGAAAATCTAGAGAAGTGGCATGTTAGCAGATAATCAATTATGAACAGGGGGAGATGTGAGATAAATTTAATTATAAATTGCTTATCCTTGAGTGACCTAGATCATGCGTAATTGTTTATTATTGTAATCTAGCTTGTGCGTAATGAGATGTGCTTTCTGTAACTGTGTATTCCTGCCTTGCTGAACGGTGTGTTCCTGGGGAGGCTGTTGGGACCAGATACACATGGTATACGCACACTCAGCTGTGTAATGCTGAGAAAACATACATCTACATAAATCAGTTCCTTAAGGAGATGTTATGAACAATAAGTACTTGTACTAAGGAGAAAAGTAATGAATTATTGGGAATATTCATTGAAGGGGCGTACATTAAAGGCGTTGTGCTCATACAAATATCCAAGTAAAGGAGGAATTCTTTTGTCCTTGTTCCTGCATGTACTGTAACTGGGACCCTATATGCATATAGTAAAGACTGGATCCTATTTTACTCTCTCTGTCTCTGAGTGTTTCCTTACAGGAATAAATAAAAATTTCCACCAGACTGTAGAGCATCCACAAGAAAGTGTCCACAGACGTGGCGGCGACAGAGACGACATGGGTGAATCCATAGTAGCCACCTGACTTCATTTGGGAGCTACAATGACGCATGCTGAAATATGTAGCTCGATTCCCAAAGATTTCTCTGTCTTCATATTCCAGTATTTCAGCAATGGATGTATTTTGACAACACTAAGTCAAGTACAGAAATGAGTCAACCAAATTCTTCATAGCCATTTTGGCTTAACAGCTCTAGGTTTGGAGAGCATTAGATCAAGGACAAGTGGACTTTTAGTAAGGGTTCAAAGATATATTTTTCTTATTTTGCTCAAAAAACCAAGCACTGGAGGTCAAAATCAACTACAGACGCCAGAGAAATAAGTACAAGCAGAGCACAAAGTTTTTTGGCCAAGCAGGGTGTTACCACTGTTGTAAACTTAAATGCAGATATCCTGTGTCAGTAAATACTTTACAGAATGAAGTGAAATAGAGTAAAATTCCTACAACAGCAAAAACGGTTATCTAGTTCAAGGACAAACCGCTTGATGGCAGTTAGGAAGTAGTCATAGGCCTAAACACGATCTTTCATGGAGGCAATTGACAATTGTTAATCTCAAGCTATAGCCTTTAAAGTCATCAAAAGCGTGTTTATCCATTTGTGTCACAAGTGATGACACATGCCCATCCAATAGAATATTCATGACTGAACAGCATTAATCAGCTAGGCAAGCAAGTAGCTGGGAAAGGATCACAACTAAGCACCACATCAAGGGCCTGTTCAGGTAGTTGAACTCGGGACCTCTCGCACCCAAAATGAGAATCATACCCCTAAACCAGGGGTGGCCAACCGTGGTTCTGGAGAGCCACAGTGTCTGCTGGTTTTTAGTGTTACTCGGCACTTGATTGATGAATTAAAGCAGTTGATTACACACTTCACTTATCTCACCTGGTGTCTTAGGTTTAAATCGGGTGGAGAAAACCAAACTCAGCACACCCTCTGGCTCTACAGGACCAGCGTTATCCACCCCTGCTCTATAAACTTTTATCTGTGCTCTGTATTTCTAATTTGTTTGCATTACAACTACGCTAAATATCCAACCACATTGACAAATCTTGCTTAACACGTAGATTGCTGTTACAACCTGCAAGTCTGCTTAATTAGCTTTTGGAGTCTTGTGGGTTGTTCCTGCTAATTGCTTGATTGGCTCATTGTTACCAAATTAAACCTGAGACACCAGGTGAGATCAGTTAAGTGAGTAATCAACTACTTTAATCCATCAATCGAGTGCTGAGTAACACCAAAAATCAGCAGACACTGCGGCTCTCCAGGACCAGGGTTGGCCACCCCTTTCCTAGACCAACAAGCCCTGAAAGGGGCTGGCCACTTCCACCATGATCTGGGATGGGCTCTTTCGCTAAGATCCTGTAGCATGTCAGACAGTCAAAATGGTCAGAATCTCAAGTAAATCAATATATTTGAGGGAATGACCACCCTGTACCTTAGTATCTGTTGGGGTTACAAAGGAGAGCATGGCAACCATCCAAACAGCTGACTTGGGTCAGATTGCCATCCAATGCATGCTCTGGGTTTTTCATCTCCCAACAGTACCTTCTCGCTCAAAAACAGACTGTTAGAGTGTAAAGGCAACACCAGACCCAGTTGCTAACCATGTAAGCAGATCATGACAGATTACAGTGAAGCTCCAGTTTTTGCCCCACTCGTGTAGCAAACTTAAATGTAGATATCCTGTGTCATCAAAGACTTCACAGAAAATCCTTAGTAAAATTCTTAACACAGCAAAAAATAGTTATCTTGTTCAAGCACAAATTGCATGGTGACAAACAGAAAGTAGTCATGTGCTTTAAGATGATCAATCCAAGAGGCCAATCACAGTTGTTGGACTCAGGATGTGGTCTTTGACACCTTCAAAACCCTGTTCTAAAAATGTGTATTGAAGTACTGACATGTCCATCCTACTTAATTTTTACCAGAATTGCAACTGTAAGGACTAAATACTATCCTTTTAGGTATACTGGCATGTCATTGGAAGCATAGGCAGGAATCTGAGGATACACTCCTAATTTTGAGCATCACTGCAAATTCATGAGAGCATAAACAGGGTAGACAAGCAGATATTCGAGTAAGTATGACAACTAAGCACCACTCCAAGGGCTCATCGGGGAGTAGAACCCAGGACCTCTCGCACCCTAAGTGAGACTCAAACCCCTAGACCAACGAGCCCTGATATGGAATTATCTCTTTCGTTATGATTGGGAATCAGCAGTATTTACCATATCTTGCTTGACAGACAGTAAAAATGTACAGAATGTCAAGTCAATGGATGTAGCCGAGAAAACAAGTGTTCTGCACTTCAGTATCTTTTGGTGTTACAATGGACAGCATGGCTACCTTCCAAACAATTGACTTGGGTCAGATTCCCTTCCAATGCATTCTCTGGATTTTTTGTGTCCTAATATACAGAGCACGCCAGCTCAAAAATAGACTGTTAGGGTGTAAAGGCAACACCAATGCCACTTGCAAACTGTTACGTCCCTAGTGGGTCTGTCTCCATTACTACATGATTTACCTCTCTCTGTCTCCAAATATTGGTCATCTATGCAAATTACTCTGTGCAAGCCCTTGTTCTTCATTGGTGCTCAACCCAGCCCAGCCCATCACCAGCCTCCTGTCTGCTCCGCTGCCCGCTCGCTGACGTGCCTGATTGGTCCAGTGTTCCTGTCCTCCTCCAATCCCGGATCAACATATCGTCTTTCTCCTATAAAGCGAGCTGTCAAACGCACACTCGGGACGGCGGTGATTTAATGTGAGCAGTCCGTCCTGTTCTGTTAAACTCTATGATTACCCATTGTTTCGCTTGCCTTGATTGTTGGAAATCATATGAAGTATAATGACTTGAATCTGTAACTTTCACTCTGGTGGTGACTCGTCGTTTTGTGTGTTGGATGGAGTGTCGATTGTTAGAAGGACTTGAATCTGTAATTCTGGAGTTTACCTCTGTCAATTGTGTGTGTTTTTATTCTAGAGACAGGACTAGATAATAGCACTTGTTTTTTGCAATTTGTTTACCTTCAGTTTAGTGGTGCTACTCACTGCTGTTGTTTGTTTTCTCCTTTTTTTTGTACAGTTGGTTAAGTCCATTTTTGGTTTCTTTTATTTTATTTGAGTAGCACCATTTCGGTCCTTTGTTTTCCCTTTCATCTGTGTACCAGCCACTCATTTGTTATTCAATTTACTCACAAAACTCCTGCATTAAACCTATACCTTCACTCTAACCTATTACCATCTGGTTATTTGTTACTTCCTTCAGCCCCTAGACCAATGGGGATGTAACACAAACCATGTCAGCAGATCATGACAGATTACACATATTTCTTTACTTTGTACCCACAGGACTCATTGAAAATAAAACCATGTAACAACTAGAAAAGCATTCAGAGAGCGCAGACCTCCGCCAGGTTGCAGCAAAACCCGAAGGCATGGCAATTAGAACTCCGGCCCATTGGAAAGACTTGAAATCTTGAACTTTAGCATATATCTCACCTGTACTTTGGCCTAGATATGCCAAATTTTAATCACCTGTTCCTTGTCCTAATACCCACCTTCTCTGAAAATTTCATCAAAATCCATGCATTACTTTTTGAGTTATCCTGCAAACAAACAAACAGACAGACAGACAAACAAACAAATGGCAGCAATCACATAACCTCCTGCCAACTTCGTTTGGCAGAGGTAATAAGTGGAACAGTAAGCAGTCACATCCAGAACATATTAACAAGAAAAAAGACAAAAAAGTCATAATCATAATACATGTACATTTAATCACAGGCTGCACTTTGTTACAAAGCATTAATCATACAGCAATCATAAGCAGCGATAACACATAGTCTGTGCTTTGCATTTAGGGCAGTTAAAACATTATCAATAGTTCCACACTGATATTTAGTAAAGATATGATGACAAGTAACATGAGATGCATTCACAGACGTTTTGTCATCTACTTCAATACAATATTTAAATCTTACATATGCTATGTTTTTTCCAGTGAGTGAACTGGCACAAGGCTTGGCAATAAAACCCATATACGATACAAGACTATTTGTACTGTTTAACATACCACGAATGAAAAATAAAGTTTTTCACAGTAAATTGAGTGCTAATTTGTGGCTAGCAAATCAGTAGACTAAGACGCCATGGAAACTAAAATCGATAGGTGTCATAAGTGAAGAATAACACATGCACATACCAAATATGAAAGTAATCCATCAAAAATTAGAGCCTGTACAGCTTCCACAAGGAAGGGTGTATATTTCTGCAAAAACTGCATATTATTCGGCCAATATGGTTGCCATGGCAACAAATATTGATAGGTGTCATCAGTGAAGTGTGACACGTCAATACCAAATTTGAAATAATCGGTCAAAAATTGCAGCCTGTACTTCGTCCACAAGGAAATCTCTATGTTTTGCCACTAATTTGCTTATTTTTTGGCCCAAACTGTCGCCATGGCAACTAAAATCGATAGGTGTCATAAGTGAAGTGTAACACGTCCTTACCAAATATGAAGGTAATCGGAAAAGAACTGCAGCCTGTACTGTATCCATAAGGATATCTCTATGTTTTGCCACTAATTTTCATATTATTCGCCCAATACAACCAAAATAGATAGGTGTCATCAGCACAACACATGCCCATACAAAATATGAAAGAAATTGGTCAAAAATTACAGCCTGCAGAGGGTCCACAAGAAAGTGTCTACGGACACAGACCCGGCGGCAGCGGAGACGACACACGTGAATCCATAGTAGCCACCCGACTTCGTCCGGGAGCTACAATGACGCATGCCGAAATATGTAGCTCGATCCCTGAAGATTTCTCTGTCTCCATATTCCAGTATTTCAGCAATGGATGACAACACTAAGTCAAGTACAGAAATTAGTCAACCAAATTCTTCGAAGCCATTTTGGCTTAACAGCTCTCGGTTTGGACAGCATTAGATCACGGACAAGCGGACTTTTGGGAAGGGTTCAAAGATATATTTTTCTTATTTTGCTCGAAAAACCAAGCACTGGAGGTCAAAATCAACACCAGACGACAGACTTTGTTCCCACAGGACACATTGAATATGTGGAAAATATTAATCCATTATACTCAAATGCATTAACAACTAAGTGTTAACTAAAGCAATGTATATCCAAGTGATTTAAGTATAGCTTTCTCTCTCTTTCTCTCTCTGTAAATTTCCACTGTTTGCAGCTGGGACCTAGGTCTGTGTGATTGCTAACCTTTGTAATCTAGTTTGCAGAGATGGGACCAAGTCACATGTGCAGGTCTCAAGTAAGTCTCAAGTCTTAACCTTCAAGTCTCAAGTAAGTCCCAAGTCATTTTTTCTTGGGCAACTCAAGTCAAGTCACAGGTTATGGCAAGTCAAGTCAAGTCAAGTCCTGTAATAGGTCAAATCAAGTCCAAGTCAAGTCACCTTATTATTGCAATTTTACCCGCAGAATAGTCAGCTGCAAATATGGCTTGACCCCAAAAAAATTCTAACAAAATGTTTCTCAGTGGTTTACAGTAGTATCAGATGTACTTAACATACTAAAAGTTTACCTAAGTTTGACTCCAAGACAGGCCCTATTTTCAAAATGGCGGCCGTCAGATCCTTAAAATGACCATTACTCCTTTGTATTCCTCCTAGACCAGGAACACTGGTGCCTGATACATGTTTTGGCCATGTAATATTCTAATTAGCATATTTGCATGATAGATAAGTGATTACAAGTACAATTATATATTAAAGCAATTGCTTACAAGCAAGCCAAAAATAAGTACAATTTCCCTTAATTGCGTATTTCTCCTTTCTCATATCGTTTTGCCTAGTGTTGGTGGTTTCTGTGGTTCATAACCATTCTTTTGATCCCAATAAAGAATAAATTCATTAGAACTGTGTGATACTATAAAATTAGTCAAAACAGGGCTGCCACCTGAAGGCTCAGTACCGCTAACCCCTTTTATATTTTTGTATTGTATTTTTTATTTATATTTTTTGTAATGCATTTTTTTTTGCCTTTTGTTTAATATATTTTTGATACTTTTCTTATTTGTACATATCTTTTTCTATTTTCTTCAGTTGTTTCCTCTTATTCTTTTATTTTTTATACTTTTTTGCACTGTGACCTTCACTAGATTTACCATTAGTCATCACACTCTTCCTCCCATAGAGGTTGATTATAGTGATTCTCACAATTCCCAACTTGAGATGGTCCACAAGCAGGCATGCATGGTAATCCATATGCCCTGCAACTGCACCGTTGTGTTTGGCAGGCAGTTGTGCAATTACAGTGGATCATCTGCGGGAGGCTTTCTGGGGCAGCAGTCTTACTGGTCAGGAACTGGCAGGAACCGGTTGTCCACCAGTTTCCATGTTAGGTATCGTTCAGGAACCAGACGCGAGAGCAGAGCAGTGCAGAAAAATAGGATTTTATTTGGAAAGGGGGCGAACCCTCGCAGAGCAGGAGGCAACGGTACAAAGTCCACAATACAAAATCAAAATCCAAAGGGCGTAATCCAAGTTGTAACCAGGGCAGCAAACACAGAAATCGGGGACGGTCCAGTCAGAAGAGAATCTCAAAGAATACAAGGCGAAAACAAGCGTAGCACAAGGGAAACGTTCTGACAGGGAACTGCTGTGAAAAGACTGTTTAAATGCACTCAAGGGAAGTCACATGCTATGATTGGGAACAGGTGAAGTGGATCCGACTAATTAACAAGGGAGCAAACAGGAGGGAGAACCTAACCACATGAAATTGGCAAAAGCCAAAATGCGGACAGGGATCACGAGACAGCCTATTGACAAACAAACAGCTCCGGTTAGGGAGTTCTAACATGCACAGATAACGAGAGGCAGAACAGAGTTAAACAGGTGCGGAGGATCCGCTGAAACGCAGCCAAGTAGATTGAGTGAAGACAAGAGGCGGAGACTAGAAGAGGGCGAGTGCTGAGAGCTTGTTAATCAATAAGTAAAGTGCAGCCATACAATCCCTAGTGCTCGTTAGTAAGTTAGTACTATATACAATGTTAGTCAGAGTTAGTAAAGACAGAACAGCAAGGCGAAGGAAGCAAACAAGATTAGAAGGAACGATTGAAAACCCAGAAACCATGAAATCACCTGAAAGCGTGGTACACAATACTGGGGAAATAAGCTGTCACATAACACAAGACCAGACAGGCGAGACAAAGTGCAAAGCATGGCAAAATGCAAAACAATGACTGAAATATAACTGAGGGAATGGACTATGGCAGGTAATGCAGGGTTAAACAGAAACAAAACATGGCATGGAATCAAGGCAAAAGCAAAACATGAACAGAAAATGAACAGGACAGAGCAGAATCATAACATTCCATCCCTAATCCACTGTCTTCATGTCATCTTCCTTTCCAATCCACACCATGATCTGGAAGTAAACGCTTTGGCAGTGGTATTTGGTTGTGGACTCAGTTGGAGGCAGACGTTCTGGGGTAAAAAATGATTTGGCGGTAACGATTTTCTTGCTAAAAAGGTTGTAGCGCAAAGAGGCAAGTGAATCGGTACTTTTTCCGCCAAACAACACTGCCATTGCCTTGGTCCCATGGTCCTCTATGACATTCCTTAATTGACATGGGAGCAGAAACACATTTGCACAGGACTGGATGGTTGATCACCATTCACAAGTTTCTGGAATGCTGTGTTTGCTAACACTAGAAATGCGTGAAGTTGGATCACATCCTGTAAAGGCGTGAATAAACAGCAACTGGGAACACAAGTCACTACCCAGGACTCGTTTCATCTCACTGATGTTGTACACTTTAGCAGCTTTGGACTTGTCTGAACGAAAATAGAGGCCTCTATTGTTCGTCCCAGCATAGTAGAGGAGAAGAATGAGTGAGTCTGTATCCTCCCCTATCAAGGTTATGGGCTGATGTTCCGAGGCCTTGACTGCAGCTTTGACAATGTCCACGTCTGGCATCACCTGATGCATTGATAACAATGCAGCCCTTCTTCTCCAGCTCCTCGGTCATAAGATTGATAAGTCCTTGTTTGTTGCAAGATCTGGAAAGGAAATCATCCTTTCTTCCCACAAACTCAGTCTCTGCATTGACATTAACGACGGGGTTAGCGTTTTCACCACGTCTCTGATGTGTATTGTCTTTGATGGAAGGACCTTCGCTATACCATCAAAAACGACTGTTGCTTTACCATAATGGCGTATGGTAAAGTCTGCATATGACTGTGCAATGGCACCGTGACTGTCACCCTTTTTCCATGCCAAGCGGTGAACCAGGGAGCCACCGTCAAGGACATAATGCTCAGTTGTTGGGATGGAATCCAGGACAGTTTTGTTAGATTTCTTGCTTGAGAACTCAGTGACTGCCTGCGCTAGTTGGGGCTTGTTGGCTTTATGGAAGATTTCCTTGCCCTCGAACAGGGTTGCAAGAAATGAGCAGAGCTCATAGCTCATTACATCTTTCAGTGAAAACTGTCCAGTTTTTCGGGTTGACATCTGTGGAGGTTGATGCCTATATCTGATCTAAGAGGGCGTGTTTCTCCAATAAACACATAAGGTACGTAGAGAGGGCATGACTGATTGACAGAGTAGTGATCCAATCATGACAACGCCATTCTCAACCAGCGCTACTACCAGGTAATCGATATTATTTTTTAAATTAATTTATTAATTTTATATTCAAACTGAAAACATGAACTGAATAACACTTAAGTCATTCAAGTCATTGTGTCTCAAGTCAAGTCTCAAGTCTTTTATTATTTGTCAAGTCAAGTCACAAGTCATCAAAACAGCGCCTCGAGTCGACTCGAGTCCAAGTCACAGTGACTCGAGTCCCCATCTCTGCTAGTTTGTGAGTAAGTAGAAACACCATGAGATGTGTTTATTATGTATCCATTCTGTCTGAACCTTGAGGTCCTACAGGACCAAGCTGTTCTCTGAGTTGCATGTATTCTTGGGAGAGAGTTCCTGAGGAGCCTGTTGGACCAGATAAGGCCTGGCAAAGAGTCTCCTCTCGGCTGGAGCTAATAAGGAGGGGGCAAGATCTACGTGGGATGCATACATGCAGCTATGGAGTGCTTAAAGAAGCTATTCCTGCATAAATTAGTCTCTAAGGGAGGAGAATTGAATAATATGTCCCTATAATGAGGGAAGAATGATAAAATATTGCGGAATATCTGCCTCAGGGGCGTACTTTTTAGCCGTTGTGCACATACAAATATACAAGCAAAGGGAAATCCCTTTGTCCTTGTTTCTGCATGTCCTGGACAACCAGTCTCTGCACCCGAAGAAGCTTCCTCGCTTCTGAATGTATTTCTTCTGATACTTTGCTGAAGATCATCAACTGTATATGGGTGACTGTATCATTTGATGGTTTGAAGCCTATGTTATTTGTCTGTATCTATGCACATGTTTTTGCCTTTTGAATTATTGCAATAAAATTGTTAAATTACTGAAAGTCTCTGGGTCCTTCATTCAAAGGTCAACCTTCTCCAACAAATATAAAACCATCTAACAATAAACAAGTGGAACAGGAAGCAGTCACATCCAGAACATATTAACAAGGAAAGAGACAAAAAGTAATAATCATAATACATGTACATTTAGTCACAGGCTGCACTTTGTTACATTAGCGTTAATCATACAGCAAACATAAGCAGCGATAACAAATAGTCTATGCTTTGCATTTAGGGCAGTTAAAACTATCAATAGTTCCACGCTGATTTTAGTATAGACATGATGACAAGTAACATGAGATGCATTCACAGACATTTTGTCATCTACTTCAAAACAATATTTACTTCTTACATATGCTGTGTTTTTGACAGTGAGCGACTTGGCACAAGGCTTGGCAATAAAACCTAAACACGATCTGTCCTGGAGGTAATTGACAATTGTTGAGCTCAAGCTATAGCCTTTAAAGTCATCAAAAGCGTGTTTATACATCTGTGTCACAAGTGATGACATATGCCTATCATATAGAATATTCATCACTAAAAACTATTCCCTGAGGTATCATAGCTCCCAAGTGACCCGCATCTGGCAGGTCTGACCTGCATTTGAATGCCAAAACCTGCGGACCCGCAAGTGAATGAGAAAACCTGGAATTTGCGCATTTTGGTCCTTCAAACTTGGGAGGTATGGGTATGCTGGCATGTCATAGGTAGTGCAGCCAAGCAGCTTGACTGACAATAGAGTTCCAGTTTTGTTCAACAATACAGACTCTGAACATCCTTAACCAGCAAGGGAAGCAAGTCGGTTGGAAAGGATCACACCTAAACACCACATTGGGGGCTCGCCGGGGAGTTGAACCTGGGACCTCTCACACTTGAAGCGAGAGTCATACCCCTAGACCAACGAGCCTTGAAAGGGACTGGCCTCTTCCACCATGATCTGGACTGGGCCCTTTCGCCAAGATCCTGTAGCATGTCAGACAGTTAAAATGGTCAGAATCTCAAGTCAATGAATGAAGCTGAGGGAATGACCACGCTGTACCTTAGTATCTGTTGGGGTTACAAAGGAGAGCATGGCAACATGAGAGCAGTTGCTAACCATGTTGGCAGGTCATGACAGATTACATTGAAGCTCTGGCTTTTGCACCACTCGTGTTGAAAACTTAAATGTAGATATCCTGTGTCATCAAAGACTTCACAGAAAATCCTAAGTAATATTCTAAACACAGCATAACATAGGTATCTTGTAAAAAGACAAATTGCATGGTGACAAACAGAAAGAAGTCGTGCTTTAAGATGATCCATACAAGAGGCCAATCACAGTTGTAGAACTCAAGATGTGGTCTTTGATGCCTTCAAAACCCTGTGATAAAAATGTGTACTGAAGTACTGACATATGTCCATCCTACAGAATATTCATGAGCATTGCAACTATATACTATTCTTTTAGGTATACTGGCATGTCATTGGAAGCATAGCTAAGCAGTCTGAGGATACACTCCTAATTTTGAGCATCAATGCAAACTCTCGATAGCATAAACAGGGTAGAAGGGCAAATATTCGAGAAGGGAAGAGAAGCAAGCACCACGCTAAAGGCTCGTCCAGGAGTTGAACCTGGAGCCTCTCGCACCCTAAGCGAGAATCATATGTCTAGACGAACAAGCCTTGATGGGCATTTGTCTCTTTCGTGATGATTTGGAATCAGCAATATTTACCATGTCTTGCTTGTCAGACAGTAAAAATGGTCAGAATCTCAAGTTAATGAATGAAGTTGAGGGAATGACCAAGCTGCACCTTAGTATCTGTTGGGATTACAAAGGAGAGCATGGCAACCTTTTAAACAGCTGACGGGTCAGATTGCCATCCAATGCATGCTCTGGGTTTTTCATCTCCTAGCAGTACCTGCTCACTCAAAAACAGACTGTTAGAGTGTAAAGGCAACACCAGACCCAGTTGCGAACCATGTTAGCAGATCATGACAGATTACGGTGAAGCTCCAGCTTTTGCCCCACTGGTGTTGTAAACTTAAATGTAGATATCCTGTGTCATCAAAGACTAGTCACAAAATCCTGAGTAAAATTCTTAACACAGCAAAAAGTAGGTATCTTGTTCAAGCACAAATTGCATGGTGACAAACAGAAAGAAGTCATGTGCTTTAAGATGATCAATCCAAGAGGCCACTCACAGTTGTTGGACTCAAGATGTGGTCTTTGATGCCTTCAAAACCCTGTGATGAAAATGTGTACTGAAGTACTGACATATGTCCATCCTATAAAATATTCATGAGCATTGCAACTGTATATACTATTCTTTTAGGTATACTGGTACGTCATTGGAAGCATAGCCAAGCATCCACTCCTAATTTTGAGCATCACTGCAAACTCTCGATAGCATAAACAGGGTAGATAAGCAGATATTCGAGAAAGGAAGAGAAGCAGGCAACGCCTCAGGGGCTCTTCCGGGAGTTGAACTCAGGAGCTCTCGCATCCTAAGCAAGAATCATACCCCCTGACCAAGGAGCCCTGATAGACAATTGTCTATTTCGTTATCATTTGGAATCAGCAGTATTCACCGTATCTTGCTCGACAGACAGTAAAACGGGTCAGAATCTCCAGTCAATGGACGTAGCTGAGAAAACAAGGGCGCTGTACCTTAGTATCTTTTGGTGTTACAATGGAGAGCATGGCTACCTTCCAAATAATACACTTGCGTCACATTCCCACCCAACGCATTCTCTGGGTTTTTTGTGTCCTAACGTACAGAGCTTGCTTGCTCAAAAATGGACTGTTAGGGTGTTAAGGCAACACCAATCCCAGATCATGACAGATTACATATATTTCTTTAATTTGTAGCCACAGAACACATGGAATATAAAACTGTGTAACAATAATCAAGTGGAACAGGAAGCAGTCACATCCAGAACATATTAACAAGGACAGAGACAAAGAAGTAATAATCATAATAAATGTACATTTAATCACAGGCTGCACTTTGTTACAAAACATTAATCATACAGCAATCATTAGCAGCGATAACACAGTCTATTCTTTGCATTTAGGGTAGTTAAAACATTATCAATAGTTCCACACTGATATTTAGTATGGACATGATGGCAAGTAACATGAGATGCAATCTCAGACATTTTGTCATATACTTCGATACAAAATTTACTTCGTACATATGCTGTGTTTTTGACAGTGAGCGACTTGGCACAAGGCTTGGCAATAAAACCCATATACGATACAAAACTGTTTGTACTGTTCAACGTATCACAAAGAAAAAGTAAAGTTTTCACAGTAAATTGAGTGCTAATTTGTGGCTAGCAAATCAGACCAAGTCATCATGGAAACTAAAATCGATCAGTGTCATAAATGAAGTACAACACATGTACATACCAAATAAAAAAGTAATCCGTCAAAAATTACAGTCTGTACAGCGTCAATAAGGAACAGTGTATATTTCAGCACAAACCTGCATATTATTTGGCCAATACGGTCACCATGGCAACAAATACGTGTGGTAAGTGAAGTGTAACATATGTCCATACCAAATATGAAAGTAATCAGTCAAAAATTGTAGCCTGTGCTTCGTCCACAAGGAAATCTCTGTGTTTTGCACCTTATTTGCATATTATTTGGCCAATACTGTGGCCATGGCAACTGAAATTGATATTTGTCATTAGTGAAGTGTAACACATGTCCATACCAAATATTGAAGTAATCAGTCAAAAATTGCAGCCTGTTCTAAGTCCCCAAGGAAATCTCTATGTTTTGCCACTAATTTGCATATTGTTCGGCCAATATTGTCGCCATGGCAACCAAAATCGATAGGCCTCATAGATGAAGTGCAACACATGTCAATACCAAATATGAAAGAAATCGATCAAAAATTACAGCCTGTAGAGTGTCCAAAAGAAAGTGTCTTTGGACGCGGACGCGGCAGCGTAGACGACACACATGAATCCATAGTAGCCTCCCGACCGCGTTCGGTGGCCACAATCACGCATGCTGAAATATGTAGCTCGATCCCCAAAGCTTTCTCTGTCTCCATATTCCAGTATTTCAGCAATGGATGAATTTTTACAACACTAAGTCAAGTACAGAAATGAGTCAACCGAATTCTTTGTAGCCATCTTGACTTAACAGCTCTAGGTTTGGACAGCATTAGATCACGGACAAGCGGACTTTTGGGAAGGGTTCAAACATATATTTTTCTTAGTTTGCTCGGAAAACCAAGCACTGGAGGTCAAAATCAACAACAGACGCTAGAGAAATAAGTAGGAGCAGAGCACAAAGTTGTTTTGGCCAAGCTGGGTGTTACCACTGTTGTAAACTTAAATGCAGATATCCTGTGTCATTAAATACTTCACAGAATAAAGTGAAATAAAGTGAAATACCTACATTAGCAAAAATGGTAATCTAGTTCATGGACAAACCGCTTGATGGCAGTTAGGAAGAAGTCATGGGCCTAAACACGATCTGTCCTGGAGGCAAATGACAATTGTTGAGCTCAAGCTATAGCCTTTAAAGGCATCAAAAGCGTGCTTATACATTTGTGTCACAAGTGATGACATATGCCCATCATATAGAATATTCATGACTAAAAATTATTCTCTGAGGTATCATAGCTCCCAAGTGACCCGTATCTGGCGGGTCCGACTCGCATTTGAATGGCAAAACCCGGGGACCTGCAAGCAAATGAGAAAACCCGCAATTAGCACATTGCAGGATTTACGCGGTATTTCTCCACCCACGCGTAATAATGTGTTATGAATCAACTAAATTAAATGCAAATTCCACCAACCGGTCAATAAAATGATAAGGAAATCAATCATTTCCCCCCGCTAAAAAGATGAAACGGAATCTCTTCCCCCCGCTGAATGAAATTAAACGGTGTCGTTATGGACCAGCATTTCGGTCCTTCAAACTTGGGAGGTATGGGTATGCTGGCATGTCATAGGTAGTACAGCCAAGCAGCTAGATTGAGAATAGAGTTCCAGTTTTGTGCAACAACACAAACTCTCAACAGCCTTAAACACCAAGGCAAGCAAGTCCCTTGGAAAGGATCACAATTAAGCACCGCAGCAAGGGCTCGTCCGGGAGTTGAACCCGGGACCTCTCGCACCCGAAGCGAGAATCATACCCCTAGACCAACGAGCCCTGAGAGAAGCTAGCCTCTCCCACCATGATCCGGATTGGGCCCTTTCGCCAAGATCCTGTAGCATGTCAGACAGTTAAAATGATCAGAATCTCAAGTCAATGAATGAAGTTGAGGGAATGACCATGCTGTACCTTAGTATCTGTGTGGGTTACAAAGGAGAGCATGGTAACCTTCCAAACAGCTGACGGGTCAGATCGCCATCCAATGCATGCTCTTCGTTTTTCATTTTCTAACAGTACCTGCTCACTCAAAAACAGACTGTTAGAGTGTAAAGGCAACACCAGACCCAGTTGCTAACCATGTTGGCAGATCATGACAGATTACTGTGAAGCTCCAGCTTTTGCCCCACTGGTGTTGTAAACTTAAATGTAGATATCCTGTGTCATCAAAGACTTCACACAAAATCCTGAGTAAAATTCTTAACACAGAAAAAAATATGTATCTTGTTCAAGGAAAAATTGCATGATGACAAACAGAAAGAAGTCATTAGCTTTAAGATGATCAATCCAAGAGGCCAATCACAGTTGTTGGACTCAAGATGTGGTCTTTGATGCCTTGAAAACCCTGTGATGAAAATGTGTACTGAAGTATGTCCATCCTATAGAATATTCATGAGCATTGCAACTGTATGTACTATTCCTTTTGGTATACTGGCCTGTCATTGGAAGCATAGCCAAGCAGTCTGAGGATACACTCCTAATTTTGAGCATCAATGCAAAGACTCGATAGCATATACAGGATAGACAAGCAGATATTCGAGAATGGAGGAGAGGTAGGCACCACCCCAAGGGCTCTGTCGGGGAGTTGAACCCGGGACCACTCCCAGCCTGAGCGAGACTCATACCCCTAGACCAACGAGCCATGACAGACAATTGTCTCTTTTGTTTTCATTTGGAATCAGCAGTATTTACCGTATCTTGCTTGTCAGACAGTAAAAATGGTCGGAATCTCAAGTCAATGGATGTAGCTGAGAAAACAAGGGCGCTGTACCTCAGTATCTTTTGGTGTTACAATGGAGAGCATGGCTACCTTCCAAATAATACACTTGGGTCACATTACCACCCAGTGCATTCTCTGGGTTTTTTGTGTCCTAACATACAGAGCTTGCCTGCTCAAAAATGGCCTGTTAGGCTGTAAAGGCAACACCAATCGCACTTGCAAACCATGTCAGCAGATCATGACAGATTACACATATTTCTTTAACTTGTACCCACAGAACACATGGAATATAAAACCATGTAAAGATAAACAAGTGGAACAGGAAGCAGTCATATCCAGAACATATTAACAAGGAAAGAGACAAAGAAGTCATAATCATAATACGTGTTCGTTTAATCACAGGCTGCACTTTGTTACATAGCATTAATCATGCAGCAATCGTAAGCAGCGATAACACATAGTCTATGCTTTGCATTTAGGGCAGTTAAAACATTATCAATAGTTCCACGCTGATATTTAGTATAGACATGATGACAAGTAACATGAGATGCATTCTCAGACACTTTGTCAACTACTTGGATACAATATTTACTTCGTACATGTTATGTTTTTGACAGTGAGCGACTTGGCACAAGGCTTGGCAATAAAACCCATATACGATACGAAACTGTTTGTACTGTTCAACATATCACAAATAAAAAGTAAAGTTTTCACAGTAAATTGAGTGCTAATTTGTGGCTAGCAAATCAGTAGAACAAGTCATCATGGAAACTAAAATCGATCGGTGTCATAAGTGAAGTATATCACATGGACATACCAAATAAAAAAGTAATCCGTCAAAAATTACAGCCTGTACAGCGTCTTTAAGGAACAGTGTATATTTCAGCACAAACCTGCGTATTATTCGGCCAATACGGTCACCATGGCAACAAATACGTGTCATAAGTGAAGTGTAACATATGTCCATACCAAATATGAAAGTAATCAGTCAAAAATTGCAGCCTGTACTTCGTCCACAAGGAAATCTCTATGTTTTCTACTTAATTTGCCTATTATTTGGCCAATACTGTCGCCATGGAAACTAAAATCGATAGGTGTCATAAGTGAAGTGCAACACAAGTCCATACCAAATATGAAAGAAATTGGTCAAAAAGTACAGCCTGTAGAGTGTCCAAAAGAAAGTGTCTTAGACGACACACATGAATCCATAGTAGCCGCCTGACTGCGTTCGGTGGCCACAATCACGCATGCCGAAATATGTAGCTCGATCCCCAAAGCTTTCTCTGTCTCCATATTCCAGTATTTCAGCAATGGATGAATTTTGACAACACTAAGTCAAGTACAGAAATGAGTCAACCGAATTCTTCGTAGCCATCTTGATTTAACAGCTCTGGGTTTGGACAGCATTAGATCACGGACAAGCGGACTTTTGGGAAGGGTTTAAAGATATATTTTTCTTATTTTGCTCGGAAAACCAAGCAGTGGAGGTCAAAATCAACACCAGACACCAGAGAAATAAGTAAGAGCAGAGCACAAAGTTTTTTGGCCAAGCTGGGTGTTACCCCTGTTGTAAACTTAAATGCAGATATCCTGTGTCATTAAATACTTTACAGAATAAAGTGAAATAGAGTAAAATTCCTACAACAGCAAAAATGGTCATCTAGTTCATGGACGAACCGCTTGATGGCAGTTAGGAAGAAGTCATGGGCCTAAACACGATCTGTCATGGAGGCAATTGACAATTGTTGAGCTCAAGCAATAGCTTTTAAAGTCATCAAAAGCGTGTTTATACATTTGTGTCACAAGTGATGAATTATGCCCATCATATAGAATATTCATGACTAAAAATTATTCTCTGAGGTATCATAGCTCCCAAGTGACCCGTATCTGGCGGGTCCGACCCGCATTTGAATGGCAAAACCCGGGGACCTGCAAGCAAATGAGAAAACCCGCAATTTGCGCTTTGCGGGATTTACATGTTATTTCTCCACCCACGCGTTATAATGTGTTATGAATCAACGAAATTAAATGCAAATTCCACCACTTGGTCAATAAAATGATAAGGAAATCAATCGTTTTCCCCCCGCTAAAAAGATGAAACGGAATTTCTTCCCCCCTGCTGAATGAAATTAAACGGTGTCGTTATGGACCAGGATTTCAGTCCTTCAAACTTGGGAGGCATGGGTATGCTGGCATGCCATAGGTCAGGGGTGGCCAACTCTGGTCCTAGAGAGCCGCAGTGTCTGCTGGTTTTCAGTGTTACTCAGCACTTGATTGAATTAAAGCAGTTGATTACACACTTCACTTATCTCACCTGGTGTCTTAGGTTTAAATCAGGTGGAGAAAACCTAACTCAGCACACCCTCTGGCTCTACAGGACCAGTGTTATCCACCCCTGCTCTATAAACTTTTATCTGTACTCTGTACTTCTACTTTGTCTGCATTACAACTACGCTGAATATCCAACCACGTTGACAAATCTTGGTTAACACGTAGATTGCTGTCACAACGTGCAAGTCTGCTTAATTGGCTCTAGGAGTCTTGTGGGTTGTTCCTGCTAATTGCTTGATTGGCTCATTATTACCAAATTAAACCTGAGACACCAGGTGAGATCAGTTAAGTGAGTAATCAACTACTTTAATCCATCAATCGAGTGCTGAGTAACACCAAAAATCAGCAGACACTGCGGCTCTCCAGGACCAGGGTTGGCCACCCCTGCCATAGGTAGTGCAGCCAAGCAGCTAGACTGAGAATAGAGTTCCAGTTTTGTGCAACAATACAAACTCTGAACAGCCTTTTTTCCCCCTACACCACCCCCCCTCTTTGGAGGTCAGCTTTATTTCATTGCTGTAAATAATTATGACACATTATGAAGCACCTCCGCTGAGGAAGGGTGCAACAAAACAATAACTTTATACAAAAGAAAACATACACGCTAACATACACAGACATAGTGAGGAGGCCCTGACCAAGACAAAACTTGCCTTGAGTTCAGTTCACACCAGACGTTATTTTTCTTCAAGAAATGCACTTGAAAACAGTGAATTTACATCATTTAAAAAGGGACTGGGTAGGTGAGGTACATGGAGCAGGGGCATCATCAAAACGAGCTGGTGTAGCAATATTGTTTAGTAATAAACTACCATTTCAAATCCATGAAATCATTACAGACCCTACGGGCAGATATATATTTATCAACGGGATTCTGGAGTCAAAAAGCATAACCTTCGTGAATATATATGCACCCAATGAAGATAATCCATCCTTTTTCAATGGAATTGAAGGTAATTTAAGTAAATTCCATAACTCAATTATAATTTTAGGTGGAGACTTCAACTTAACTTTACAGAAGTGGGTCCACGCTAAAAACCAAAAAAAATCTACATTTGCCCTGTTGAAATTAATGCAGACATTCAACCTGCAAGATGTATGGCGGATCTTACAACCAAACACAAGAGATTACACATTTTACTCAGACATCAAACATTTTCAAGATTTTTTTCTTGGTTTCTCAGAAGATCGTTAGAAATGTTTTGCAAAGTGTGATTCATCCAATAGTACTTACAGATCACAGTCCAGTTCAGAGAATTTTAATATACCCTCAAGATTTACAAAGTGCAAACAGTGGAAGGTCAATAATTCTCTACTGGAAGACGTACAAATTAAAACTAAAATAATAGAATACATAAATGCTTTCATGGAAATAAAGAAGGATTCTATTCCTAATTTTCCTTTAGTCAGGGAAACTTTAAAATGTTGCCTAAGGGGGACTAATAAAAATAGCTAGTTTCCAGAACGAAAAGAGACACAATGAAGAAAATGAGGCCAATTCCATGTAAATGGGGACATGGCACCTAAATTTTGAAGTTGATAGAAACAGATGTTCTCCTTATTGTGGTTTAAATATAGTATTTGGGCTATCAAAATGTAAAAGTAATTTTGAGATCATACCCCTGGGAATTTTTTGGGGGACGTGGTCAAAATGATGTCCAATGCAACCAAATTGTCTCTTTTCGTAACCAAAAATGTCCATTTAGCAGCTGCCTTGTTCTCAGGTTGGTAAAAATGCAAAACTCAAACTTCTACCTCAGTTGTCAGTGCAGTAACTCTGTTAACCTTATTTTATGTCTGAATTTTAAGCTGCATGCCATGATTTCTAGAAAAAGTACAGATTTACTGACGGACTTTGAAACTTGAATTGTAACGCCCGTCACATTTTAACAAAAAGGTTTTATTAGGTGACACAAAAGTAAGCAGAAGTTTATGAAAGTGCAAATACAAAGTTAGATTGATGGTAGGTATAGGTACAAAATGGTATTTGGTGTTTTCTGTGGTTATAATGTAATGCCGTTACGGGCGTTACATCACGAGTTTGCACAGAATGACTGCTTTTAAAGCAATTTGGACAGTGAATTGACTTTCAGTTCAAACAGCAAATGTCAGTTGGCAGGCCAGTCTGGCGGAATGTCAATCAGGTGCAAGTTAACAAGGTCATAACCAGGTCAACTTGGTGCAGACAGCAAACATGGAAAAGTGAAGCAGTCAGTTTTTTTTTTAATTTCCTCAACGAACATTTGTATATGCTGAGAAAGGTAAGTTACAAGTGAACTTTTATGTAAAAGTAATAATATTTTTCTCACAAAATAAGTATTGTAGGGAACGTCAGTTCTGAAAATAGCCTGCGTGAATGTCGAGAACGGAGAAAAGCAGATCCAGAAAAGTATGCGGAATTAATTCCTTGAGAAAGAAAGAGGACGAGACAGGAAGAGGAACAGAAATACACATGAAACTGATGTGGAGAGACGCAGGCGCACATGTGAACGAGTAGCTGCATGTAGGGCACATAAGAAAGCTGAACTCAATAACAATCAAAATCAAGCAACTGGCAATCAAAATGGTGGCACTCCAAACCACACTGCAAG